CCTACTCAATCTAATTCTGACATCACGGAATGGAAATTCGTCTAACAGTCCTTGAGGCTCAAACACTTACTGACTCAGCATGTGACGAGACTAGCCAAGAAGGACGGTGATCTTAGACCCCGTCTAATGAGGATAACCTTCCCATCTTCCCACAAGGCGGCTGCAGTTCTGGAAGCATTTCGTGCTAATAGACGTCGATTGTCACCTGGAATCCACATGCATCCGGATAGGCCATACGAAGTTAGGACCAAGAACAAAAGCAAGTTGGAGCTGACCATTCCACTTGTGGACTGTCTAAACGATAAAAAAGACGTGTAAAGGACAGGGCCTACCACCTCGGCAAACGTCATATAGGTGGGCTACCTGTCCATTCACATAAGGTTCATACAGAAAAACAGGAAGAAGCTCACGCGTTTCAAATTGAAAGCATAAACTGCTTATATATGAACGCCGCGAGTCTACCAAACAAACTGGATGAACTACGTGAACTTAGCAACGCTAATAAGGCCCATCTGATAGGAACATCTGAAACCTGGATATCTTCTCAGTTCTTGGACCATGAGTTAGCATTACCTGGGATTTCTTTGTTCCGCAATGACAGAAAATCAGGATTTGGGGGCGGAGTAGCTGTTTACATACGTTCTTGCTTGGAGGTGCATCAAGTTCATAACCTCGAGTTTAATAATCTTGAGGAATCTATATGGTGCTCTGTTAGATTGTCAAGTACTTCGAGGTGTCTAGTCGGAGTCACTTACAGGAAGCCAACTGCCGACATCGAGTACGATAGTCGTATGCTGGAAGGACTATCCCGCTCTATCCGTCTCGGTTTCACACACATCCTGATTCTAGGGGCAGGGAGACGGCTTTTTAAGAACATTACGTCTTTTCTACGAACCCAGAAAAATACGTACAGAATTTATCCAGTAAAAAACTAACTGGAATTGAAACTGAAGCACTCTCCCTTGGATTTAAATTTCACATTCCAAAAAAATGCAACAGAATAGACACTGAAACCCAGTTTGAGTATTTATATCAATAGTTGTCAGAGCTGAAACCCATGAACGATGAAAAACATAGTTGGTTGAGATCGAAACTAGTTGACATTACAAACCAGTACATAACGACACCAACCCCACAATCGAAAGTGTTGACTAAAGATCACCAACTAGCTTTGAAAAAAACTTGTGAAAGATGAAACAATAATGCTACTTCGTCCAGATAAAGGTTCCGGTGTAGTCGTTATTAACAGAGATGAATACATTAGCAAAATAATGTCTACTTTAAATGATTCCACTAGATTTATCATCGATAATACCCAGAAAGATCTAACAGAGAGGACAGAGAAGTGACTTGTAAATAAATTGAGTGATCTCCTAAAGAAAAATCTAATTGATAATCATACATATAATGAACTGAAACCTAAAGGATCACAATTACCGAAAGAAACTAACACCTTACAGTCTAAAAGATAGTTTTGAATTTGTATAAAAACTCGACAACCTAAATGTTTCCGACAAATTTATGGTTTCATTTGACGTCTCATCGCTCTTCACAAACATCCCCTTGGAAGAAACGATAGAGATCATATGTGGTTATCCTGAACTTCCACCCCTACCAATTCATGATTTTAAACAGCTCCTCTTTTTTTGTACAAAAAACATACAATTTCGATTCAATAATGTCCTTTACCGCCAAATCGATGGAGTTGCCATGGGTAGCCCATTGGGCCCAATTCTTGCCGATATATTTATGGGAAACCTAGAACAAAAAATGCTTAAGCACGCAATCGATGGTACTACGCTGTATTGCAGATATATTGATGACACATTCCTCGTCTGCAACAATCACGAACACGCCATTCAACTACTCGATCTATTTAATAAAGCACACAAGGACATAGAGTTTACTATGGAACAAGAAGCCGAAGACAAATTCCATTTCCTTGATGTTGGGATCCGACGAACATCTGATGGTAAATTACATAGACATATTCACCATAAAAATACCTGGTGTGGTATATACCTCAATTACCATAGTTTCTGCCCAACGAGTTACAAAAAGGGTATTGTACGAACCCTTTTTGACCGCGCTCAAAAAGTCTGTTCAAAAGAATACCTTGATGATGAAATTAATCTGATTACTAATGTTCTACGTGATAATGAATACCCATTGAAATTTATTCAGAAATATGCAAAAAGCAATCCTCGTACAAAATACGATGGAGTAGAAAGAAAAACCTGCTTCTTACACTTACGTTTCAAAGGTGATGAAATTGCTGGAATAATTAATCACAGAATAAACTCTGCGTTGAAAGTCACTTACCCAGCAGCAAAACGTATGACAGTATGGCAAACGAACTGCTCACTTCAACAAACCAAAATCGACAAGCCCTCTTTCCTTAGTAGCTCCAACTGCATCTACCAATTCACATGTACGTGCCAAAGCACATACATTGGAAGAACTGAGAGAAGAGTGCATGTCCGCATTTCTGAGCATGTTCCAAAAAACTTGAGGCTGCGAGGGAATAAGGCCTTCAACAGCGCAATAGCTCGACATCTACTTGACACCGGGCACACCATCGAGATTCCACATGCTTTCAAAATTATCAATAGACAAAGAAGTACGACCACCCTCCGTTTTGCTGAAGCCATCATGATCAAAAAACTTAAACCTGACTTATGCATCCAAAAAGAGACTTTAATTAACTTATCACTACCCTGGTAACCCTTTTTATTTTATTATTTATTTATTTATTTTAAAATATTTATACTCCTCCCCTATTACATAATTCTTAAACCACATTATCATTCACACAATTCCGCCACCTGATCCTCTTAAATTATCTTAACTTTTCAAATTCTATCTTATTATTATTACGTAACCTATCTTATAATTATTCAATTCCATTATTACACCACCCAACCCGAATTAGTTCCTTTTGACCTCTGACCTGTTCTAGCATATATATATATATATATATATATATATATATATATATATATATATATATATATATATATATATATATATATATATATATATATATATAATTATTATTGTAACCCAGTTATTTACACTCATCTATGTCAATTGTTTTCACTATATCTCAATGTGAAAATTCTATCACAATTTGGTTTGTAAGGAGCTGACGGGAAACCTCGAAATAATATGAATTCATACTATTCTGCACCATTATTTGTTCTTGCTTTATTTAAATTCATAAAGGTAACGAATTGCATGAAATCAGCTTAATTGACGACAGTTTCATCTCCAACTCAACAGGACTTTCTGAAGTGGACCTAAGCGTGACTTGGTTTTCCGGAAATTGCAGCACTTAAGACTTGAAACTTCTCCTGGCCCGGATATGGTTCATCCTGCCATACTGAGGGAGGCAGCCTCAATCCTGGCAATGCCGCTTGGCGTGATGTTTTCACACTCGCTTAGCCGAGACAAATTACCCGAAAATTGGAAGTTGGCTCACATCACACCAATTTTCAAAGGTGGTCGACGCAATGAACCTTCAAATTATCGGCCGGTGGCTATTCTGTCATTACCTTCAAAACTCATGGAGTCCCTGATATGCGACGGTTTAAATAACTATCTACTGTCCTTAAATTTCTTCTCACCCCAACAGCATGGTTTCAGGAGGGGTTACTCTTGTATAACCAACCTGCTGACTGCGGTGGACAAATGGACAAGCATCCTCGATTGCAAGGGAAAGGTTGACGTCATTTACCTTGATTTCTCAAAAGCTTTTGATAAGGTTAACCGCTTGTGTCTTATCAACAAGCTCAAACGACTAGGTATCAAACCACCTCTAATCGGTTGGCTTACTTCATACCTAAAAAATCGACACTTTAAGGTTAGGGTTAATTTAACTTTATCTCAGGCTATGGAATGTCCTAGTGGGGTCCCCCAAGGCTCAATACTAGGACGTCTTCTCTTCTTGATCTACATAAATGATCTTCCTCAACAGGTAACGTCAGACTTATTACTTTTTGCCGACGACGTGAAACTTTGGAGAGAGATACGCAACCAAGACGATACACAGGAACTTCAGGAGGATCTGACGCGACTTCAAAGTTGGGCAGACGATAACGGACTTACCTTTAGCACTTCAAAGTGTAAAGTAGTCCATCTGCGACATGTCGCAGACTACAGTTACAACTTAGGAAACTCCTCTCTAGTAGCATCCCAAGTCGAAAAAGATTTAGGAGTCCTGGTGCCCCATGACTTAAAGTCTTACGCTAACTGTGACAAAAATGCCTTCCGAGCAAACCTTGCACTGGTAACATTGAAGTGCATTTTTGGACAGTTTGACGGACGAACTTTCCATACAATCTTCTATAGTTTCATACGTCCCCATTTAGAGTACGGAAACATAGGACTCCCCCCTCACTCCAAAAGGACAAGGTCACTTTGGAGCGTATCCAACGGCGAGCCACGAAATCAGTTCGAGGACTCAAATCTAAGCCTTACGAAGAACGCCTCCGTTCACTAGACCTTTACCCACTAGAATATAGGCGTCTTAGAGGTGATTTACTAATGGCTTATAGTATTATTAACACTTCTGGACATCCTCTTAAACACCTACTTAAGCTTAGTTCGAATAATAACCTAAGGGGTAACACCCGGAAACTGGAAACACAACATAGCAATACGGAATGTAGACACAACTTCTACTCCTTAAGAGTTGTCAAAAGCTGGAATTCGCTGCCGGCCGAGCTAGTCCAAGCGACTTCTCAGGAGTCCTTCAAGAGGCAACTTGACCTATTCTTAAGGACCAAGGACAGCATCACATTATGATTTACCAATTTCTTTTCCACTTTTATTGTTAACATACCTAGGTTCCTGCCTGGAGGATTTGGTGATCCCCTGCTACTAGACACGGAAGCCTGTTAAGCGAAAGCTTCTTCTATTCCGTCCACAACCATATGAACCATTTGAAGTGTTCACTGTACAACATGTGCTTCTAAGTGCGCGAGATTTGGGATTATCAAATGTCCAGCAAAGTGGGTAACTTCAGGGTTTAGCAGGAAGTGAGGTCCTTCCTGTGTAAATTTTGTTACATTCTATGTCGTCTGTCAAGTCTTTTTTAGAAAGTGGTCATTTACATCCATGAATTGACCGTAGTTTATAACTCGTAGATAAATATTCTCAAGCAGTCAACTTAAATTATGTAAACTATAATAATGTAAATGAAAATTTTTGACAGACACTTTTTTACGTGAAAAAATTCGGTTGAGAGTGCAGCCTTGTGGAAATAGTCTTCACTCTGCAAACCGTATTCTGGGATACTATCACTAATTTATCACAAATTGAGATAAAAAAGTCTACTGTGTTATGAAGTCCATCACCTAGTCTATTTCCCGTCACAACGTTTGCATGGTTTGTCACTTATTCTGGGAACCCTCACCGTCTGCCTTGTATGTTGAAAGTGATTTATATATTCGCAGGCATTTTCACAGTTTACAGAAATATTGACAACGCTGAAGTAACGGTCACGCGTCTTTGTTGTCACTAATAGCCATAAATTAACTCAGTCCTGATATGTTTTGAAAGTAGAATTTCATGCTGGGTTTACTAAGCAAGAACACTCCTTTATTTATTTATTTAAACATGAACATTGGTACAAAAAGGTTGGTTTATACGCCATTTGTTCGTTCAGTATCCTTGAGCCTATGCACACCACTGGTTTGGAATCAGGGTTTTTCAACTCCCCTTTGTGGCTACCAATCCGGTTAAAGTGTTGGACATTCGTTTTTCGTCCTCTTAATTTCGTAAACAACCTCACCGCGGGAAAAGTGAGTAATACTTCCCTGGTAATGGCTGTACACGTGTGGTCACATAAGAGCATTACGTGAAGGAAAGCAAACTCTACTCACCCTCGGCCGTACCAGGGCATTTGGGGGTCATTGTCACTTAAGCTCATAACTGTCGTTTGTATCATTCCAAAATAAAATAAACATCGTTTAGTGCTCTAAACTTTTTCCTTTGACTTCATCCCCAAGTGTCATCATGACCAGTGGTTCTAGTGCACGGAATCCTGTCCTAGGTTTATTGAAACCTCGCTCCAAACTACTCTTTGGAGCCCTCAACATACGTACTTTTTGTCAAATCGGCCAGGAGGCCTCCTTGCCTAAGACCCTAGTATCTCGTGCCATTGATGCATGCTGCCCCTAAAACACATATACAGGGTCCTCTGGTCATTCACTTGACCTTGCCTGACCAAAATGGGAGCCGATCCCCCGTGTATCTGGCAAACCAATGGCTAGTTCTCGTGGACTGGCGGGTGTAGGTATAGCACTAACTATGAGGGCGGAACAAGCACTTTTAGGATGGATCCTCGTTAGAAGTTGCCTATGTGCTGTCCAGCTAAACTGTCCTGTAAGAACTCGTAAGGATAGGGACATACGTCTTTTTTTTTCGTTTCTGCCTACACTCCCACTGACTGCAGAGGACGGATAATGGTGACCGTCTGTTGCAACTGTGCCCAGAAAATCGTTTATTCTTAGCAAACACTAATTTTAAGCATAGGGAGAGACGTTTAACATGGCGACCCTCCTCACTAAACCAACACTGAACTCAAATAGACCATATTCTCACCAACCATCGTTGGAGATGCTTGATAGAAGACTTCTGCTCGTTTTGCAGTACATGTTTAGACTCTGTTGATGCTGTGGTACGAGTACACATTTGCCTGTACCTCACCTGATGCAGAAAACCACACTAAGAAGACCCATTAGAATTGAACTCGGCAATGAATAGGCCAAAAGTATATTACAGAATGAAGGACTCCGTAGACGCCCAACTTCGAGACCAACAGGCAGGATTTCGTAAGGATAGATCGTGTACAGACCAAATCGCAACTCTACGGATCATTGTGGAACAATCAATTGAATGGAATTCATCACTCTACATCAACTTCATTGACTACGAAAAGGCATTTGACAGCGTGGACAGAACAACACTATGGAAACTTCTTCGACACTACGGCGTGCCTCAGAAGATAGTCAATATCATACAGAACTCATATGATGGATTACACTGCAAAATTGTGCATGGAGGACAGTTGACAAAGTCGTTCGAGGTAAAGACCGGTGTCAGGCAAGGTTGCTTACTCTCACCCTTTTCTTTCTCCTGGTGATCGACATTATCATGAAGACGTCAACATCTGAAGGGAAACGCGGGATACAATGGACATCTAGGATGCAGCTGGACTTTCTAGACTTCGCAGATGATCTGGCCCTCCTATCACAATCGCAACAACAAATGCAGGAGAAAACGACCAGTGTAGCACCAGCCTCAGCAGCAGTAGGTCTTAATATGCACAAAGGGGAAAGCAAGATTCTCTGATACAACGCAGCATGCACCAATCCAATCACAATTGACGGAGATTTGGAAGATGTAAAAACCTTTACATATTTGGGCAGCATCATTGATGAACATGGTGGGTCTGATGCAGATGTGAAAGCGCGGATCGGTAAAGCAAGAACAGCATATTTACAATTGAGGAACATCTGGAACTCAAAGCAACTGTCAACCAACACCAAGGTCAGGATTTTCAATACAAATGTCAAGGCGGTTTCACTGTATGGGGCAGAAACCTGGAGAACTACGAAAGCCATCATCCAGAAGATACAGGTGTTTATTAACAATTGTCTACGCAAAATACTTCGGATCCGTTGGCCGGACACTATTAGCAACAACCTAATGTGGGAGAGAACAAACCAGATCCCATTGGAGGAAGAAATCAGGAAGAAACACTAGAAGTGGATAGGAGACACATTGAGGAAAGCACCCAACTGCGTCACAAGACAAGCTCTCACATGGAATCCTCAAGGCCAAAGGAAAAGAGGAAGATCAAAGAACACATTACGCCGGGAAATGGAGATAGACATGAGAAAAATGAATGACAATTGGATGGAACTAGAAAAGAAGGTCCAGGACAGTGGGTTGGAGAATGCTGGTCGGCGGCCTATGCTCCATTGGCAGTAACAGGCGAAAGTAAGTAAGTAATATTGCAGGAACAACTGAGGTCACACTTAGGTAGTTCTGAAAACAAGGCTGATCCAGATGTTGCTTGGGAAGATATACGAACAGCTTTGAAAATAGCAGTGACATCTATTAGTAATTTAAATCATTTTAAACCAATGGATTTCTACTAAGTCTATTGAACTGTTAGATTCTCGTAAACTCATCCCATCAGGCTCTGAACACGATGAATAACGAAAACAAGTCAGATATAGGTTAAACAAAAGTCTAAGGAACGATCGTGAGCAGTGGTGGGCAGCGAAAGCAGAAGAGATGGAAAAGGCGGCAACTGTAGGTAACACGAAACAGCTATTCAGACTGATAAAAGAAACGAACTAAGAAGTCAAGTGTGAGACTATTTCGGAAAAAGACGACAATCTTATCAGCTCTCAGTTCAGACGTTCAGAACGATAGTTGGAACACTTTAAGGAGCAGTTCAGCTGAACTTAAGCTACTCTACAACTATCCACCATTCCTAGACAGCGGGAATGGAGTATTGAAGTAGGTTTCCCGACTCTAGCTGAAGTTCAAAAGGCTATGGCTGATATGAAACGAGGAAGGGCAGCTGATCCAGATGAATTAAATCCAGAGATCTCCAAAGATGGTGGTCGAGTTTTAGCAACTAGGTTAACTAATATTTTAGCTGAAATCTGAGAACTGAATGTAGCTTCATGTGACTGGTCGCAATCACTGGTCGTCTCAATATATTGGAAAGGATCAAAATCACCCTGTGATAACCAGACGGATCAGTTTGACTAATATTCTGTCTAAAATACTAGCCTCAATAACTATCGGGCGTCCAAGAAAACTCGAACCGCGAATGCGAGAAAACCAGGTCGGCTTCAAATCTGGTCGTGGTTTAATCTACCAGATATTCACCGTTCGACAGATTTTGGAACACAGACATGCTTATCGCAACCCGGCGATAGCAGGCTTTCCTCTACATTCCGTTTTTTTCAAAGATAGACACCGTCTAAAATGCAACATACTTTCAGAAATCTTAGTGAATGGGTTCAGTATGACGTGAAATGAATTGATCAGTGGACGTGATATTACCATTCTTTGTACTTTTGAACCACTTATAGGACACCTAGCCATAAATTAATCACCTTAACTACGCCTAAGTATACCGTGTGGTTAGTATCTAAATCATAGTTGACATCGTGTTACCAGTTAGTAATTTTAAGCCGAAGGCTTCACGATTATGAATACCTGGACATTCGGTAAAAATTATTGTCACAAATATTCTCGTAATCCTAGTATTTTTCTGTTTATTTGGTAATGAATCTGTGTTGTTAGTAATGTAGCTAAACACTCAGTTCACGTGCTTCGGTTTGGGCACCCGATTAGTATCACAGCCCTCACACATATCAAATGAGATTTGTGTGGCGCATATGTATTTGGTGCCCCCGAATGCCCTGGTACGGCCGAGAGTGGGGTGAGTCCGCTCTCCCTCTCGAAATACTCTCACACGGCCGCGCCTATACAGCCTTTGCCAGGCAAGTCCTACTCATTGTCTTCTCGTGGCGGGGGTGTTGTTTACGAAATTGAGAGGACGAAAAGCGAATGTCCGGCGCTTTAACCGGATTCCAAACCAATGGTGCACATGGAATCCAGTATCCTGAAGGAACAAATGGCGTATGAACCACTCGTTGGTCACCGGCTACCATGGAATTGCATCTCCTTACGATGCTCCACTGCCTTGTGGGTTAGACCTTTAGGTCAAAGGCTCGGGGTGTGGCCCCCTAAGAAAACCACCTGCTTCGGTTTGGGCACCCGGGCAGTATCACAGCCCACACACAAACGATGAACTCTATGTCTTTGGCAACTACTTTTATCGCTCCGAAAAACAAAAACAATCAATCGATTCAAATAATTATCATTACTATTATTGTCATTATTAATACCATTATTATTACTATTATTGTCGTTATTATTATTATTATTATTATTATTATTATTATTATTATTATTATTATTATTATTTCCCACATTATTCACCCTCTTTCATACTTATACAGCGGCTCGGCTTTGGTGGAAATCCGACTGTATCTAAACGTTCTCGAGTCACTGTCCGGTTGAAAGTTGTATGTTACCATCGAATATGAGTACTGAAGCAGTTTTTCTGAAACCACGTGCGCCATTCAAACTGGCTGCCTTCAACGTTCGCACACTTATGCAGGTTGGTCAACAGATAGGGCTGGCTATGTCTTTGGAAAGTCTTAATATTGATGTTTGTCGTCTATCCGAGACCCGTATTCAAGACTCTAGCGAAGTACTACAAATTCGCTCTACATCTGTCACTTCAAAAAGCTTGTTTTACGTGCGCTTATCCGGGGACCCTGTGGCATCTTCGTCTGGTCTTGCTGGCGTTGGTGTCGCACTAAGCGCTAGAGCTGAGGCAGCACTAGTCGATTGGATCCCCATTAACAGTCGGTTATGTGCTGTTAGATTAGAAAGTTCCATCAAAGTGAGAAGAAATCGGCGTGAGAAACGATGTCTTTTCGTCATCTCCGCCTATGCCCCGACAGATTGCAGCCCGGATGCAATCAAGGATGAGTTTTACCACCAATTATCTGTTCTTCTCCAGAAAGTGCGTTCGACAGATATTGTAGTACTAGCCGGAGACTTGAATGCTCAGGTCGGGCGTCTAGGCACAGAAGAGAGTCGTTTAGGTGGCCGATGGGGACTCGTTGGTCGCAGGTCAGATAACGGGGACCGTCTACTGCAACTATGCACAGACCACAACCTGTTTCTGGCTAGCACTAACTTTCGGCACAGTCATCGCCGATGTGCCACCTGGCGTCCTCCCTCTGCATCCCAAGCCTGGACTCAGATTGATCACATCGCGATCAGCTACCGCTGGCGTGGTTGTGTACAAGGCTGCCGCTCCTTTTGGAGTACCTATCTGGACTCTGACCATGCCTTGGTCTGCGCCAATCTTGCCTTACTTTTCAGTGGCCAACGAAGTGACTGCCACCAACGGGTTGATGTTAGCAAGCTGGTTGCAACTTCTGTTGCAAATAAGTATCGAACCGAGCTAGCCTCTAGGCTAGCTACCACTCCACCGAAAAGTATAGATGAGCATTGGTTGCAATTGCATGACGCCATGAAAATGGCGGGAACAGTCAGTTGTGGGTTTGCGAAACGTCCCGCTTTTAAGCACTGGGTTTCTTCTGGTTACTTACAACTCATTGAAGCCCGTCAGTCTACTCCGGGTGACCGTGAGTTTGACCATAAACGAAGGATGTTATGTAAGGAAATCGGGCAAAGCTTGCGTAAGGACCGAGAAGCCTGGTGGTCGAGGCGTGCTAATGAGCTGGAAGCAGTAGCTGCATCTGGTAATTACCGGAAGCTCTTCCAGCTCATCCGAGCCACTGGCAGCAAGAAGTCTGGTGTGAGTGAAACAATCTGCGAGGATGATGGAATGCCAATCACTAACATCCATCGACGTCTTGGACGGTGGGCAGAATTCTTCGAAGGGCAGTTCAACTGGCCTGCTGCTCCGGCAACATCAGTCAGACTGTCCTGCCCTCCATGGCCGGTGACGACTGATCCACCAAACGAGGAGGAAGTCCGCAAGGAACTCCAACTCTTGAAGCGATACAAATCACCTGGTCCAGATGTCTTACCTCCGGCTCTTTTTAAAGATGGTGGTGACTTTTTGACTAAGGAATTGACGACGTTGTTTACAAAGGTTTGGGAACTAGAGAGTGTGCCAACGTCATGGAATGAGTCGATAGTTGTCCCTATCTTTAAAAAGGGTTCACGTCGTTCCTGTAACAACTATCGGGGGATAAGTCTACTTCCGATTGCGTCCAAGCTATTGGCTTCCGTCATTCTTCGTAGGTTGTTCAAAACCCGAGAAAGATTGACTCGCGAGGAGCAGGCTGGGTTTCGTTCTGGTCGAGGATGTATTGATCATATCTTCACCCTCCGCCAAATGTTAGAACACCGCCATACTTTTCAAAGGCCAACAATCGTAGTGTTTCTTGACATCAGGGCTGCCTTCGATTCGTTGGATAGGACTGTTCTCTGGGATTGTCTATTGAAGAAGGGTGTGCCTGAGAAGTTTATTAACATCCTAAAAGCCCTGTATAAAAACACCTCAGGCAGAGTGAGGGCATACAACCACCTCTCTCCATTGTTCCATTCGAGCAGTGGGGTTAGGCAGGGTTGCCCAATCTCACCATTCCTCTTCAACTTTGCCATCAATGACATTCTGGAAACAGCTCTGATGAATGTAAGTAATGGTGGTGTGGATCTGTTGCCTGGAGAAAGACTTCTCGACCTTGAGTATGCGGACGATATTGTCTTACTGTGCGATAATGCCCAAGGCATGCAATCCGCACTTAATCAGTTGGCAATCAATGTCCGTAGGTATGGTATGTGCTTTGCACCTTCGAAGTGCAAAGTACTTCTACAAGACTGGCAGGATTCTAATCCTGTACTCACCCTGGATGGTGAGCAGATAGACGTAGTTGAGAAGTTTGTGTATCTGGGTAGCTGTATAAGTGCTGGTGGGGGTGTGAGTGATGAGATCAATGCACGAATAGTGAAAGCCAGAGCGGCTTATGCCAATCTGGGCCATCTATGGCGCCTTCGTGATGTTAGTCTGGGTGTAAAAGGTCGGATCTACAACGCGTCGGTGAGAGCAGTTTTGCTCTATGCTTGTGAAACCTGGCCTCTCCGAGTTGAGGACGTTAGACGACTCTCTGTGTTCGATCATCGCTGTCTCCGAAGGATTGCTGACATTCAGTGGCAACACCATGTCAGTAATGCAGAGGTTCGGCATCGTGTGTTCGGGCACAGAGATGATAATTCAATTGGTGTCACCATCTTGAAACACCGACTTCGGTGGCTTGGACATGTTCTCCGAATGTCGTCCCAGAGAATTCCACGTCGTGCATTATTTGCCGACTCTGGGACTGGTTGGAAGAAGCGGAGAGGTGGTCAGTGCATGACATGGTGTCGTGGTATGAAAGAAAGCTGCAAAGGACTGGCGTGTGTTGGTTCTTCACGACTCCCTGGTTGGGGTCTGAGAGATGGTGCTACACAGTGGCTAGAGACGTTATCAGATATGGCTCAGAATAGAAGCCAGTGGCGATCCTGCTGTAACCTTCTTTTACTTTCTTCATAAAAAGTGGTTCTGTCTCCTTTACCTGAAAGATTTCTTCTGATTGTACCTTTGCGTTCCCTGATTACTAGCACATTACCTTACACCAATCTCTTCGTTATTGTCCTCTCTTTTTTTGTTGCGCTCCTTAGCTTTTTTTTCTTTCTTTGTATTCCTCTCGAATTTTCATTGTTTTGTGTGGTGCATATATATTGGCGCTCCCCTGTACCAATATTCATGTGTCCAAATAAATAATCCTTGTACCAATATCTATGTGTTAAAATAAAATTTAAAAAAACATTCGGTTCACTATATTCACAGGTCGTTAATTCGAAAACAAAAAGAAGTAGATATCCTCGAACAGTTGTCCAGAAGTTGAAGTCTGTCGGGCAAGCTATTGAACCTAATTTACCAGTAAATGGTGTCTCGGGTGCTGATAAACCATCTTCAAACAATGCATACTGTCCTCATTGGTCTCATGATGACCTAATTTCTGGTGTCAGAAATGGAACACTTCTATCAGTAAGTGTTAGCACCTGTTTTTATTATGTTATATATTTCTTAGGTCAAAGACCTAGAAGTTGATACTAAATCAAGTTGGATTGAAATATCAGTTTTTTCTCATTTTCATTCTTACCTCATGTTTTTGCACGTACTTTGTATGTAACAATATTCTAACCTCTATACGTCGCGTCAAACACCATATTTTGCTTTTAGAGTAGCTGTGGTATTAGAGCTTAAATTGTCATTCTTACACTTAGTATAATTCAGTATGTATTCATTTGAATGCTTAAATATCAGGGATCCGTACAACTTGCGATCCAACCTCATCAATACTTAGTCTCAGTCATGTCAACTCATGCATCGATGTGTTAGTATTACAAACAATATTATTTATATGGTAATATCAAATCTGACCTCCTTACGTGGTTATTGATTGTATCGCCTTTTGAAGTTCTAGTGTTTAAGATTTTGTAATTGATAGTTGATTTGAAACACCCTTGTATGGTACTTTTTTGTAAGTAGTTAAAACTGATATCTTTTTTATTTTAAGGGACATAGTGTTCTTATTGCTGCAGCTTTTTCCTAATTCCAATGTTATTTTAGTCATTTCATTTTACTAATTTTCAATATTCTTATCCATTTTACAGGGTAACCTTCGTATCAATCCGAAAAACTTCGAAGATGGATACGTAAAGCACCCGGTAAATGAAATTATTGAGTTTATTAAAATATAAAGGCTGGTGATGCCGATGTATATATCTCAACTTTAGCATCCAGAAACCGAGCACTACCAAATGATATCGTTGCTGTCATGCTGGAACCAAAGCGCAACTGGAGGGTATGTTCAAATAATCACAATATTTTCCGTACTTCGATGAATGAGTATGTAAAAATCCAGTAGTGCCTTCAAAAGCAAAGGAGCCTCCTTCGGCACACTGCCTTGACGTTTTGTCTTCTGAGTTTTGAAACTAGACTGCCGAATAGCTTCGGATTTTAATTTCTTGCACTATCCGTACATTCACAACTAGATCTTTTGATAAATGATCTAAAACTATTGGTATAAGATTTTGTAGTAACTATTTTGTTATAATATACCCTACATATCACTGTTCGTTAAATAAGTAGTTGCGTTAACGTTTGTTAGTACTAAGTGTTCCAGTTTGTGGTCAAACCAAATCAGTTTCGTATTGGGTACTTTACAGCGATTCAGACCACTAGTTTTATCGCTCTTTCGAGTTCGTAATAAGACATTTTTTCGTGCTTTTTCTCTGTATATACAAACTTTGTGTATCCAGTTATGTCCGCTAGTATATAGAATGAGTAAATGCAATGATAAGCAATTAAGAATCTTAATTTTATCATCGAAGTTGAAATTGTAACTGGTAAGTAAGCTGGTCGTTTGTAGTACACAGTTACAAACAATATTATCTCTAAATCATTGTTACAGTCCAGTGTATTTTTTGTCTATGCGCTTCCAACTCAACAGTAAACTAATGGAATTCGGGTTTTAAATGAGACTATAAACTGATCAATGTTAGACCATCATTGAAAACCTTGAATCAGTGGTTTAGAGGTTATGCATTCACGTGCGAGTCCGAAGGTCCTGAGTTCGAGTCCCGCGCGCGGTACTGTAGATGCGCACCGCTGAGGAGTCTCATACCAGCCAACCAGTGCTCGCAGTTTTTCAGTGGTGGTCTAACTTTGATCGGTTCGTGATTTCAATTAAAACTCAACAATCTCCACAATCCTATATTGGTAATGGAATTTGGGTCTGTTATGTGAGCGCCACGAATTTATATCTGACGTAGGTTTGGATCTACATTTTGCGCTTTGGTTGATTTAATGTCTGCATAATTTTAATTTTGTAGGTTTTGAATTCTTAACTTTCAAAGAGTCATTAACTTTTTTGCTTCAAGCTGTGATTAAAATATGTAAGAATTTTCGTATTAAAACCTGTTAAACATGCGCTTATTCGATTGAGTTATCATTCGTAATTAAGTTATGACCAATCATCGTTTTATCTTTCCGGATTCCTTATCGCTCAGCAATTTGTAGTTTCTGTAACTCAGTGAAGGTAAGAAAATCATTTCCAGGTGAATAAAAGTTTGTCATAGACAGAAATAATAACCGCTAGATTAATCTAGAAATTCATCAGCCATTATTACCTCGGTTATTTTTTCCCACATATTTCTTACTGTCGTATTCCCAGTGTTTGCTGGTTAAATATAGATATTTGTGCTTTTTTAGGTATTTGATTCTTTTATCGATGAAGCCACCATGAGAGAAATCGGGGATTCAAATCAGAAGAAGAAACTTAGATATGTTACTTTGGAACAGTTTCTTAAAATTCAACCTATGGGGTTAGAGCAAGTATGTGGGTAATCATTTTCTCCTATATACCCGGTTCTCTCCCTTTCTACATAACGATAGACTAGTTAATACATCTGCGAATCCACTCACGTAAATTGAGATAGGATATTTTATTTTCCTTTTAGGATCAACTGCAAGATTCTTCTAATACGAAATGGGCTCTATGCGAACTAGATAGATCAAACGACTAGCACTCTACAATACTTAAGTGTTACCAACCCATACACAAATAAGAGGGAATACTTGTTAAGAAGATTAGTCAAGACCCCAGAAGAATTAGTTTACGTTCAAGTTAATTTGATTATATGCCTATTATATTCTACGATTATAAATTACACCGTCAAATTGAGTAATCGTTACTTAGATGCAAAATCGCAGTTTATTAGTTTATACAATGTAACTGTAGTAATCATCAAACACCTAGCTTCATACTGAATAAATTAATATAAATTCAGTGCACTGAAAGTCAGTAAATGTGATTCACGTAAATTATTATGCTAATTGATCTCTTCCTCATTCGTTGTATTTGCGAATATTACATCCCCAACACACAATTGTGTTTAAAAACAAATCAAAATCTATCAGTTTTCCTTCTCGTGCTTATTTGGTTACAACATACTGATGCCATTAAAATAAAGGTACTAAGACCTATTACTGAAAATCCCATTCTCTTTTTATGTGTTTTACTATTTTTTGAATACACTGGATTCTGCAATCCGCTAGTCATTATTTACGAATATGGTATGGTTAACTGAGAAAGTCATATGTTCAGTGGGAATATTTTAATGTCAGTAAATGGTTGTTCTTACTGCCGCATCAGCTTACATAATGTACTTTTCGTAGAGTTTATGCAAGTCTAGGAATTGGTTATCGTAACTAGTGTTGTACTTTGATAGTTAGTTGTTCGGCTTGGAGAGTATAATAATTAGAATGAACAGCGCCACCATTGAAAATTCGTCCTACATTCTCATTTTCGCAGTAACCTTATCTTATGATTTCATTTTATGAAAATAAAACCACAGACTAGTAATAAGTAAGCGGAAGCTATGAATTATGAAGGTAACAAATTTTTGCTTTCATGTGTTGGTGTATAACTCTTTACTGTTCTCTTATTTTATTCACAAGAAAAGCTATTCGGCATAAATATGTTTAAAAATTTGGTAATTTACTAGAGTTGATTATCATGTGTTTTATGGGCCTAGCAAACGATTATTCCACACTTGACTGTTCCTTAAAATATTATTTTGTTTCTAAGCCTTTATTCACTTTTTACTTCAAGCTCATAGGAAGTTGTCTTGCAGAAGAGATAGCACAGGATCTAGATTCACCTTCAGATCCTATTGATTCCTCCTCAAGTGAGCAAGATGTGCAAAGTCACAAAGCTTGGTGGGCGATTATACAAAGGACTGGCCATGTTGTTGGAATCCTTCAATCGCTACATTCCCGTGCTTTCATAGGCAATCTTCAAATTCCTAGTAATTTCCAAACTCCGAAAAAAGTATCTCCGAAGGGTGATCAGAATAATAACCAATCAGAGGCTATACGTACAGATCCAGTTCTTTCTAATTGGAAGAATGCTGTGCTCATACCTACGGATACACGCCTACCACGAGTCTTCATACCTCGTGAAGCTTGTCCGGAAGGTGAGTGTAAATTGACGTATTAAAAAGGTTTATCGAATTGGCAAACTCTTAGAAAATCGAAATATACTTATCTCAAGGTTATATCTTTATAAACTATCAAAAAATCGTTTTCTTACTCTTTGATTGCTACTTATTTTGATATAGGATTCCTGAAAAATCCTGAAACCTACAAAAACGTTCGTTTCATTGGTCGTATCACTGAATGGTTTGATTCGAATATGTTCCCGAAAGGGTAAGTATTTTTGACGTCTTAATGTATGTTTAGTGACAATTTGTTAGTTTTCTATCTTTTGTAAAGCAACAAGATTTTCTTTAATCATTGCAGTCTGGATGGCGTTCTGCTGAATGTTAGTCTCATCGTTGTATTCTGTTGTATTTCGTTTCTGTTGAAGGATCAAGATCTAAACATTCTCAGATTTCTGTATTTTAAAAGTGGAACTATTAGCACAAATTTGTAACCAATAGCAAAACTGAGGAGCTTTCCGATTCCGTGATAGTACAAGTGAAGCAAATAATTGTCCTCAGAACATCAATCAGTTGAAGTTTTTTAAGCGTGTATGCTTTTGGTAAAATTTCAGTCTTTTTCTAAAAGTCTTTTCTGGATGTCATGACCTACTGTTGGAAATGTTAGTGTATAGTTTCATTAAGTGCCTTTCTTTATTTCACTACAATTTCAATGTCTAGGTTTTATCACCATTTCCTTCATCATAGATATGCTGTTCCCCAGAGTAATTACTTAACCAAATAATCAACGTGTTATAATTCCCCTGTTAGTTCCAATTATAATTATTTTTTTTGTTAAGATATTCGAACCTCAGGAAAAATGAAATCTATATATCTCTGGGTTGCGGTTAGTGATAGAATTGAGATATTAGATGAATATGATTTGTTACCTTATTTTATTGTTATGTTTAAAGACTTCATGAGATCACCTAAAACCAGCGAACGGAACGAAGGATCATTGACGCAACTACTAGACAGCTAAACTATTCCATTGTGTCCCAGCCCCGCTAACTAGAGAGAGAAGTCCTGGTTCAGGTGATGTAAAGTACATTCCACAAGCAGCCAGAAGTACGAACGTCAACAAGCACACAACTCAGGCGTATATATACAGCATAAAAACGTCCTTAGGAAACGTCACAAAACAGCATAATAAAAGAGGCAACGAAATAAGGACTTTTAGGGTCCTTCCAAGTGGGAAATACAATCTGAAGGTAAAAATGAGCGCTTTTAGCGCGAAAACGATGAATTCAAATTTACAAAATATAATTACAAAAATAAGACGTTTACCAAGTGATTTCTGGAGGTCATGCGTCCTCAAAATATTGCTTATTCTTCGAGTAAATTCCAGGTTGTAACTATTTTAGTAGTAGCTCATAAATGAATAATACTTTTCTTTGTTTAAAATGCTTGAATTTTTTAAGTAAATAACTCATCATTTACATTTATTCTGTAACCTCAATTGTTAACATGTTTACGTTACTCTGTTGTTGATGATCGTTGAGCTGTTGATACTGGTTTGAATATCATTGTTTATTTGTGCTATATAAGAAATACTTCAGTTACCTTGACGAATTCATTTCGTGTAAGGATTTTTATGGTTTTGATTTGTCATTTTCTTTTTTCGTCAGGGAGTTGTTACGAGAATTGTCTTGTGACTCTTCCACTCTGATTCAGGATGAAACGGATAGGATTTTAGTTGGAGCAGGATTTATTTGGGGTGTGGAAGCAGCTTTCCAGTTTCCTGATATTGTCACTGAATCAGTTCGTAAGTCTGTTGATGACGTGAATGCTATTCGTGAGAAGGATTTTATTTTCCGTAAAGATTTTCGAAAATATTGTGTTTTTACGATTGATCCCAGTACCGCTAGAGATCTTGATGACGCTTTGCATATTAGACAGTTGGAACCGAGTGAAATAGAAAAATTAGAATGCAGCGGTTATCGAAACGCATTTTACGAGGTAAATAAGAGTCCTGTTTTATGATTCCATTGACAGGTAAAAATGAATTTTGGGAATGAGTAATTTTCTGAATGTTAGTTAATTCTAATTTAACCCCATGAATTTGTGATGATAATCTTTAATGGAGTGTTTCATGGTGTTGAGTCACGTACCAACCCAATATTGAATTAATTTTCTGGAGTACCATTCCCAATTATTTGTGGGAAAACACCAAGGCATTTGCTAAACGTAGTTGGCTATATGGAATATAAAGTACACTGATTACAGTAACCGATAGATGGTAAACTGTTACTACCTCTTTTTTCTGCGTCAAAACAGTGTTTCATTTTTCCAGCTTCCCCACAAGGAATCGAATTATATGGATCCCTGTGCTCAATCTTTAAACTTTCAGTTAGCACTATTGCTTGTTTCAACTTTATGTAGGTCAAGTTATCTTCATAATAAGACATGCCATTGGCTAATACTTAAAGAAACATGACGTGTAGTTTTCATTTAAAAGTGCAATCATTCGTCAGTTCATAGCGTGAAACAATGTTTATGAAAAGTGATCCTTGAGGCATCATTATGGATGTTCTTTGTCTGGTTAATTCTGATTTGTGTTGTGATTCTCGTTTTGCTAGGCGTTTACTTCTCAAACTCTTCAGACTAAATATGTTAGATGTTTGGAGTAGTGTCTGAAAAACATGTTTTTTAATAATTACCGAGATGTTATCGTTATTAATTTATGTCCGGCTAGTTATCACTTGGTTTATCCACCAATCAAAATACGACTTATACAATCTTAGCACTGTGCCAAACCAATGACGTTCGACTGGTATGAGCAGCCTAGCACCCTTATTGGTCCTATGTCAGCCTAGCCTGTCTACTTGAGTTCAAAACACCAATACCAACCCCCACTATACGAATCGAATCGAATCATTTATTTCAGACATACTGGGTTTATATATCAACCAAACAGACCGCAACGCACAAAAAAATAGGAAATAAAATTTCTACACAATAAAGCCAGAAAGTGACTGTGAACGTGGGAGGCAGTAGTCAATAAACTGAACATAGCTTACGAACAGTAAATCGTACAATAATAAATTATAGGTCAAAATGAAGCTTATAATAAGAGAAATATACATATACATAATCTAATTATTGAATAATTATACCATAAGAATATATAGATAATATTAGTCAATTAATATGTTTCAGAAGTTACTCGTGATTTAATCTTCGCTCGGATCTAATAGCTATTGTTCTCATACGTGGTTAACCCTTGTATATATTACTACTCTAATCCATGACTTGTTGACATTGCTTATCTTCCAGATTATATGTTTACTTGATTTGTGTGTCGCTCAGTAATCAACAATTAGTATTTCTGTAGGTTCTGTTTTTATTGGGTAGTATTTAAGAAATGAGTCCATTTGGACTACCGTACGTACTATAAATTAATGAAGTGCATAGGAAATGTCACGAGGAAATTTTGTGTCAGGGTTTTGTGACACAGAACAATACATTACTTGTTCATCTACATTATTTTCTCCCCAGGTTGGTGTACATATAGCTGATGTTTCATATTTTGTGAAACCAGACAGTCCAGTTGATAAGGAAGCGGCGTCCAGAGCAACTTCTATATATCTAGTGCAACTGTGCGTGCCTATGCTTCCACGTCTACTTTGTGAAGAACAATGCAGTCTTAATCCAGGAGAAGATAAGTTAGCGTTTTCTGTGGTATTCACTGTAACTGAGGATGCCAAGGTGAGTAAAACAAACCTTTTTACTGTGAAGAAATTGTAATATGTAAATTCATGCTATACCATATCACTGGTCCATCACTTAAATATAGATGTAGTTATACTAATATATTTCATATCACCCATTCTAATGTGAGATTTTGTTTTCACTTATTACCGCATATTATCTACTAAAATGTGTCATTTTTTGCTATTGCTTTCTAGAGTTTGTGTTTTTTTGGTTGTTGATATTAAGAACTGGATTCGATCAGTGTTTGTTTCTATTCACACTCCTTGAGAGGATAACTGTATATTGTCTGTAGTTACATGTAATTCATTATATTTTGGGGTAATACCTTGTATTGAGATCTAGAGTGCGCGATTCTTCATATTTGAAACGTGTGTTAGCTGGATGCACCAGGATCCCAGAATTGTTCACACTAAAAATCACAGTGGGGCGGGTCTGTTTACTCTCTGTTTCTAGATCCTGAATTTTGTATTTCTTTCTATATAGCTTTCCATTCCTTCTTCTCGAACCCAATTCTTAATGTTTAGTCCTCATGGCTATTACCAATACATTATTTCTAATCCTTTGATATTAATCTTGTTGATTTTTTTCTCTTTTTGTTAATCTTATGAAAACTTGGGCTAACTTATATTTATATCAAGCTTTACGTTGATTATGACTGGATTAGATTCGAACCCAAAACTTATTGCCTTAAGCATCACCTCTTTTTCATTAAACTACCAACTTATTGAACGAGTATGATATTATTATTCGTAAGGGTCTGTGTTTTTCCGTTATCGACATTCAGGATTGCTTTCAATTAGTCTATGTGAAAATATGGGTATCTCTAAATTAACCCCTCTGAAATTAAATTCTATAGCTAGCTACTATCTAAAAGCTGTAAATAAAGGCAACACTTGTAAATTATGACGATGACAATAGTTAGTTATTAATTTCTGAATAAAATTCGCTGTTTACAATTTGTCTTCATGACAATATGTTAATCGGGATTTGATTATTGCAAAGATTCACATGTACTATGTTTGATTTTTTTTTATTGGTACGTCAACACTACCAAAAGTGTCTACTTCAGCTCATATCTTTCACATAGTTCAAAAACGGATACGGAACAGATGTTAACGAGCTCATTTGTCTACTATTCTTGTTATTATTTAAACAAAGAATAAATTGATATACAGACCAATTTTAAGTAGAACTTACTAAGATGAGGCGTTGGTCCATCAGTCAGTCACAACATAGAACTTGCACGTATGAGTAGTAGGGGTAGTGATAGTGTCGGTGGTAATAGGAAAGATAAGACATCGAAGATACGACTCGAAAAGAACTAGTGAAATAAAAACAAAAAAGTTATGAAGAATTTAGAATCTTAGAATTTGAGTGAAGACAAAGGAAGGCTGCACCTGCTTCATTGCTAATGATTTTGAGCCACGTTATTCAAAGTCCCTAACCATTGGATACGACAATAACATGTACCCCAACCAGGGAATCTTCACATAGCTAAGTCCAATTAATAGTAATTTCATGGACTAATTCGATATTTTGATTTGACTACCCCTTGTTATTTTCTAGCCTACTTCTGCACCAGGACACCTGGCCCATCGACGTAGGAGGTGGTTGGGCAGACGTAACACATGTCTCAACCACCTCAGCTGATGAAGATTTACTACTTCATCAGTCGATTTCCCTTTTTTACCTGGTGCTCTATTTCTAACTCGGGTATTACTTGCTCCGTGGTCTCAAAATACATGAACGATACTTCGTAAACACCTATGATCGAATATCAATAACCTACAAGTATCCTCTACTATTAATGGTCATGTTTCACATCCATCAAGCGAACTGCTGCACAGTAAACTTTCCCTTTGGTTAGAGGACGGATATCTCGCATACGTCACGAGTGACGCAGGCTGACAAAAGCCAATAGAGCCTTCTGAATCCGTGTCGAGATTATGTCAGATACCAAACCATCAGGATTAATGAAGCTCCAAAGGCAGGTGAAGTGGTCTATGGGTTCAACTACTTCACTCCCTGTCGTTAATTCAGGCGATGGCGCAAGCCAATCCTGAAGTAACATTTTACATTTGGAGGAAGAGAACCGCATCCCAAACATTTTTGCATGGTTGTTTAAGGTGGTCAGAAGACTACGTTTTGTTAGCGTCTTCACTAAACAGAACTATATCTTTCGCGTATTTTAAGTCAACAAGTGAAAAGTCAGATGCGTTGTTTCATGTTACCTAAAGTTTCAACAGTCAAATACAGCAGATCAAACCGGATATAAACGTGATATTTTTTAAATCATGAATGGAAATTGTTTATCCGATTTACAAACTGTCCGAACGAAGTCATCCAACTTAAAAACGTGATTCATTAAAAGTGGCATGTCAATGAATATATAGTGAAATATAAGGGATAAACTCATTTGGATTATTGTTATATATATTTTTTGACATGAATTCCATGCATCACATTTTGAGTAATGACGGTTTTGTTTATACAAAAATATTAACTACCTTATGATTCTCAGTTTCTTGCTATAATAATTCATATTAAACCTTAAGGTAAGTTATTTATTTTGTTTCTTGACCTTGTAAATTTCTGTTCTGTGTGCCAGGTGAAATTTATTTATCAAAAATTTCTTCTATCGTAATATAGATTTTAACAACATGGTTTGGTCGTACATTTATTCGTTCTTGTTGTAAACTCAGTTATGAAGATGCTCAGGTCAGTCTGTTAAATGGTATATTTGATTAGGTTGTATTATTATTACTATTACTATTATTATTATTATTATTATTATTATTATTATTATTATTATTATTATTATTATTATTGTATTGTTATTGTATTATTGTATTATTATATTCAACCATTTTACATTTTAACCATTGAGCTACCAATTCGAACATTGCTTCATCTGTCTATTCTGATGTGGAAAACCAGATAGTATTAATAACCATGATGACGTAGCTCAGTTTAGTAAGTGAACATGTGCTTAATTATTGAATTACATCAATAATCTTTGGTCCGAATATTAGTGTTTGTTGCATTCGGTAGTTTTTATATCTTATGAACTTTTGAAGTGCCAGATTTAAGTTTTCTAGACCTAGTTAACTGTAGTCCTCTATTTTAAGAAGATGAAATTCCGAAAAATACACTGCATACGTTATGTTTAAATGTGTTTCGATCGTTTCCTATCATATAAAATTTGTCATCTCAATATTAATGTCATTCCACACCATTTCAGGAATTTATTGATCACCCTGATAAGGACTGGTCGTCCAATGAATTTGTCAAGGTAGATCAACCATATACCGTAATGGATATTTGTAAAAATGTCTTGAAGTTAAACGATGTAAGTGTTTCTATTATATTATATTTCTCTAAACATTCTTCTTTGCTGTACTTCCTTATTCGTCATGATATCAGTTAGATTGATTATATTTAGGAAACATTGAATGGGTCATCACCATTCTTTGTTTATACCATTGGTTTTTTTCCGATGCAAATCAGTCTGTTAAACATGTGTTGTACACTAAGAGCATGTCACCTCGTCAAATTTTTACAATTTTATGATTGAGCAGTGTCATTTTCTAATGGAAACTATTGATTGGCTCTTATATGCTGGTCAATTTTATAACAATTATAATTTATTTCTCATGCTTTAGCTGGCTACTAAAATGCGTAAAAGTCGTTTTCACTCTGGAGCGCTTCGCTTAGATCAAGTAAAGTCTACCTTTTCTCTTAATAACGAAAACGGACTACCATTGGGTATAGCCCCTTACATTTCGAAGCAGAGTAATTGGCTTATTGAAGAATGGATGTTAGCAGCAAACAAATCAATTGCTGAACGCTTAGCTAAATACTTACCCGACTCAGCTTTTTTGAGACGACATCCACCACCATCTGTAAAACAGCTGACCGAAGTTTCGTCTAGTCTAAATGTTGCTGGGATAAATATTAATATTGATTCTGCCGGTTCAATACAGGTATGTATTGATTAAGCATTTTATATTATTTCAAAATTAAACTACTATACTCTATACGTTTTTGCGTTCAACAGAATTTCACTTTGTTGCTAATTTCTCCCTAGTTTACCGTTTTAAGGGACTAGGTCCTTAGTATCAGTAAATGATCACTGAAGCTTTTCACACTAGTAGAATTAATTCATCTACTGGCAAACCCAAATGAATGTTGAAAATCTAAGTAATGTGACAATCGTGTCCGAACTTGGGGACAGTAGTCCTTTAGTTATACAATATAAGAGTGTGCAACAAGAAATCAGGTTTAACGTTTAGTTTAATTGTTGAATGTTGATTACCTAGATATTAGCTTATAGATTGTACGCCAAAACGACCTTTCATTACTGCTGATAAAAAAACGTATATTTGCAATATATTTGTTTGTGTCATTCAGCATTTAAAGTGAAAGTATAGTTGATTTCTCTCATGAATATCGTTAAATTTTCAGTGCAAAACACAAATGTGTTCAACTTAGTTGAAAAATACTGGATAAAATTGCATGTAATACCATAGAAATGGTCCTGAATGTATCACGTTGAAAGAGCTATGTCACTTGTTTTCAAATAAAAATCTACGTATAATTTTGTCACGAAACCACACTCTTAGGATTTGAGAAATCTTTGGAAAATACATTTAGTCGCGATTCAATTCTGGTTTGTTTAATTAAACTGTAGAGCTTTCAATTTTTGAAAAGCACTGCTAGTTTCATTTACTGCTAATAGTTTGCAACTCTAATTTCAACAGCAATAAATGATACCTCTTCCCTCTACCTATTCTCGTCGACGATCTATACTCCTCAACGAGGGGTACCAAGCGTAAGTGATTTCAGTAACTATCCTCTACTTCTCTGTTTTCTGGCAAGAGGGAGGAAACTTTAATTTAAGAACCTTATTCATATGCACGCAATAAGATTAGTTCAAACTCAAATATAACCCATTATATACAGTTAGTGCTTATAAGGTAAAGAAATGATCTAACTGAACAATTGTCGTAAATCATTAATACGATTGAATATTATGCTGAACAACAGTTATGTGAGCAACAAATTACATTGAACTAATTAATACAAATTAATGTTATAATGGGCAAAAATTACTCTGAATTGTTACGAATAGCAATTAAATGGAAATCATATTTAAACATCAGTACGTAGTGTTTCACTTAATTTCTTCCTACTTAAGTGTATTTAGGTATTTAACATCCCCAACAGTACCATATCACTTACAAAATTCGCTTATTGTTAGTATATAATGTCATCTTAATATCAGTACTAGATACTAAAAGTTTTAAAGCTTAAAATTACCCAAAATTAGTGTAACCCCATTACCTATTCAGATAAGTAAATAGGAAAATTCAGGTACATTTTTATGCAAATCTTTACTCCATATTTGTGTGTTTATTTATTCAGGATTCAATTTGCCGTGAAGCAGGTTGTAATGTCGAAGTTGGATATCACTACTCAGATGCCCTTGTCAAATTGTGTGATGATTTTATGTCCAATGTTTTGATTCATGATGGCGATTTAATAGAAGAAATGCAAAAAGTGGCCCTCAACTCAGTTGTTCAAAAGGAGAAGTTACTATTCAAAACTCTTGAACATGAAGCACGACTTCTTGTTACAGTTGCTTTATTGACTAAAACAATGAATTTGGCTGTCTACTTCTGTTTAGGTCTACTACCATCCGAGTTATCGCCCTCACATTATGCTTTAAATATGCAATTGTACACACATTTCACTTCTCCTATTCGTCGTTACGCAGATGTTATAGTTCACCGGCAATTGTCAGCTACTTTGGCCAAAGAAGAAAGTGATCGTTAGTAATGTTGTTTTACTGTATATCACCTCTAGTTATAACTATCTAGTTTAAATTGTTTCAATGTTCCATTAGATGTTTCTTTGCATTTCATATCATTCGATTTTTACTTTAAACTTTTGAATATCTGAGTATGTTACGCAAAATTTAAGTAAAGAACTGAGTAGTCAATTTGTCTGTTGAAGATTTATTTAGATTTATGGAAAGTGTTGATATAGTTTTCCCTCACATATATGGTTTATTTACTTAGCCAAGTTAATTCACTTTCTTCACTCCTGATCTACCATAAAGAGTTAAATTTCTAGAATGTATTTAACGTTCTTCGTTCATGACATCTAATCTTGTCTTCAGTTGTAATTTTTCCTGCATTTTTATAAAGTAAATTTTAAGATTGGTTTAGACTAATTCGATATTGAACGTAAAGAAAATATGCCTATACAAGTCCTAATTAAATTTACATAAACTTTGCTGTCAATATCTTAAAAGATTCCTACTTTGTATGCAATCGGTTGTTAGAGCTTCTGGGAAGTATTCCTCGAAAATGTCCATAGAGTCCAGAAAGCGCTGGATCTGTTGTCCATAAATTAACCTTGGATTAAAGTGGTTTTTGCTCACTTCGCGCCTTTTCTCTTGTGTTCAAGTTGCTGAGTGAATTCAGCCTGTGATTATTAGAACTATTATTTAAAATAACTGACTGAAAAATTGTGAAGATTCCAAGTAATCCACAATTTGGTGTAGTTTTTTTCTACAAGTGTATCGATCTAAATTTATGTGGTGTTAACTGTAATATTTTTATGTATTTGCTTATTACTACTCTTGCCAGCTATAACATAATATGATAGGGTATAATGTCTTTTCTTTATTTCACCCACTTCTCAACGATAGCTGAAAAAGCAGATTGGTATTTAAGTACAGCCTTTCCAAAAGAAATGACGCCAGTCGAATTGCAACAACAGGCTGAGGTTTGCAATTCTAAAAAATTGTCTGCCCGACTTGCTGGGGAAGAAAGTGCTGAATTATTCTTTGTTCTGTTTGTCAAGGTAATTGGTTTTTCTAAGAATATATATATATATATATATATATATATATATATATATATATATATATATATCTGTTTTAAAACTATAGCACATAGGACTGTTCTCTGGGATTGTCTATTGAAGAAGGGTGTGCCTGAGAAGTTTATTAACATCCTAAAAGCCCTGTATAAAAACACCTCAGGCAGAGTGAGGGCATACAACCACCTTTCTCCATTCTTCCATTCGAGCAGTGGGGTTAGGCAGGGTTGCCCAATCTCACCATTCCTCTTCAACTTTGCCATCAATGACATTCTGGAAACAGCTCTGATGAATGTAAGTAATGGTGGTGTGGATCTGTTGCCTGGAGAAAGACTTCTCGACCTTGAGTATGCGGACGATATTGTCTTACTGTGCGATAATGCCCAAGGCATGCAATCCGCACTTAATCAGTTGGCAATCAATGTCCGTAGGTATGGTATGTGCTTTGCACCTTCGAAGTGCAAAGTACTTCTACAAGACTGGCAGGATTCTAATCCTGTACTCACCCTGGATGGTGAGCAGATAGACGTAGTTGAGAAGTTTGTGTATCTGGGTAGCTGTATAAGTGCTGGTGGGGGTGTGAGTGATGAGATCAATGCACGAATAGTGAAAGCCAGAGCGGCTTATGCCAATCTGGGCCATCTATGGCGCCTTCGTGATGTTAGTCTGGGTGTAAAAGGTCGGATCTACAACGCGTCGGTGAGAGCAGTTTTGCTCTATGCTTGTGAAACCTGGCCTCTCCGAGTTGAGGACGTTAGACGACTCTCTGTGTTCGATCATCGCTGTCTCCGAAGGATTGCTGACATTCAGTGGCAACACCATGTCAGTAATGCAGAGGTTCGGCATCGTGTGTTCGGGCACAGAGATGATAATTCAATTGGTGTCACCATCTTGAAACACCGACTTCGGTGGCTTGGACATGTTCTCCGAATGTCGTCCCAGAGAATTCCACGTCGTGCATTATTTGCCGACTCTGGGACTGGTTGGAAGAAGCGGAGAGGTGGTCAGTGCATGACATGGTGTCGTGGTATGAAAGAAAGCTGCAAAGGACTGGCGTGTGTTGGTTCTTCACGACTCCCTGGTTGGGGTCTGAGAGATGGTGCTACACAGTGGCTAGAGACGTTATCAGATATGGCTCAGAATAGAAGCCAGTGGCGATCCTGCTGTAACCTTCTTTTACTTTCTTCATAAAAAGTGGTTCTGTCTCCTTTACCTGAAAGATTTCTTCTGATTGTACCTCTTCGTCATTGTTCTCTTTTTCTTTTGCGTTCCTTAGTTTTTTTCTTCTTTCTACTTCTCTTCGAATTCCCATTGTTTTGTGTGGCGCATATATATTGACGCTCTCTTGTACCAATATTTATGTGTTCAAATAAAATAAATAAATAAAATAATAGCACATAGTTATGCATAGATAGTTTTCTTTTCCCAAAAGGAATCTCACTGATTATCAAGAATTATTTCAATTGATATGAATGGATTAAGTTGTGATGCGTAATATTTCTTATATCTTCCTAAAAACTAGGAAACAGGTCCATTTAACGAAGTATGCGCTGTAACATCTGTGCTCGATCGTTCATTTGACGTTCTTATCCTTTCTTGTGGTCTCACTAAAAGAGTTTATTTACAGGTTAGTTTGCTAGTCTCCTTTTTCGACCGCTCTGTTATTGTTGTTTTTGTCTGTTATATTTTTTCGTTTGATCCTTGATTTGTACCACAAATTTTTCTGATGGATGTTTTTTGGCTCAACTGGATGCTTACTGTAGTGCTATATTCTGACTTGGATTGTTTAATACTTGAGCTCACATTGTCATCGTTATCCTAAAAAATGACTTAACCAACCCCTAAATCAAGTGAAGACGAAACGTATGAAAACAACTTATCACAAACCATATCATCAGAACATATTAATTAAGGAATTTTGGAATAAGTTGTTTAAAGTTCATTTTTTTAAGGTAGGTCCTGGTGACATCCAGAACAACAATAAAATATTTTCAATTAGATTATACTAAACCGCTTGAAGTGAATTATCGCGCCATTATTCTTTCAGATCTTAGGTCATCAGTTTTTGTAAATAGATGTTTCATTTTCGTTTTAGTTCTCGTAACCTAGTCCGTACTACTGAAAAGTATAACATTACTTCGAAAAGTCTTTCAAGTGCTCCCTGGTTTACAATAATACTAAAACTACCATTGATTTGTGATAAATACTACCTGAATGTAGTATGTATAAGTGGTATGAAAATTCACAGATTCGAAGGCTTAACTACATCACATAAATTCAGTTGATATTTGAAAATGTTAAGTGTTGTACTTTAAAAATGATAGAAGTAATGAAACCATTGCAAGTCATTGTTATAATATCAATACTATTTGTCCCTTGTTTACCAGTGCAATTCTATCTTAGTTTAGTACTTTATCTGTTTTGTTAATTTCTTTTCTCTTCTTACCGGAACTGGGGCACCATAGTACTTGATTTTTGATGAGTAATATGTTTGCTCCATACCTATTTTCTGTTCCAACTCACATTTGTTAGTGAGTGTTACTGTTGTCTGATTGTCATTTCAATACACTTTTATTTCTTTAATATTAGAATCTAAATTTGAAAAGTTATGAATTTGTTCCTCCCAAAACCGCTATGGGAAAAGTCGTGGAGAGTGGAAAACTCTGTCTTCTATGGAATAGTGATTTATTAGAAAATTTCAATATAAAGGGTTCGGATTCTGCAGATTGTATTCAAAATATTACTGTTGGTTCGAAAACTACATTATCAAGTTGTGGTTGCTTTTATATGGAAATTAAAGTTTTTGATGTTGTCCGGTGTCGCGTTTCAGTTGATTCTTGCAGTTCTATAGACGATGCCAGTCAGTGTGGTCGTCAAAATACCTTATTGCCAAAATTACTTGTATGTCCAATTATTGTTTAATAATTTATATTTAAACGCACATAAAAATGCCTTGTGGACGGATATTCATCTGTTCTTAAAATATAAAATAAGTGTGATTTAGTAAGGGTAGGATGCTGTTGTTAATAGTGTAGTACAGTGTTACTCTTTTGTAACTCATACTCTTTCTTCGTCTTCATTTGTATCTCTTATAAGAAATTAGAAAACACCAGTAAAATAATACAGCATGTGAGTTTTCTGTATTTTACAACATCCGATCAATGCTACGTTTCACGCGGCCTGTATTTTTGTAATGTTCCAGTAATTTGAAAATGTGATTCACTTATGACATTTTAACCTATATGAAATCCTTTGTATGTAACTTAGTTGATTCAATGTAGCTCAGTTACTATGATGCGTTTACTCAGTGGTTGAATCGTTCGACTTTCAGCCACTAAGTCACAGGTTCGACTCCCTGTTCATCTACTTCTGTTCGAAAGCTTTATTATATCATTGACCGTTTGTTTGTATAGCAAGTTCTATTTTTGATATCCACTTGTACCAGATTTTATGCATAGTTAACGATATAATTAAAATATCTCAGTAACCATTCACAAATTTACATACTATATGTTATGGCTTGTAATACTGCACGGATTCAAAAAGCTCGTTTGGCTTTCGCCAACTTACGTCACCTATGGCAAAAGCGAGATATTCGTCTATCGTTTAAGGGACGAGTATACTTTGCAGCCGTTCGTTCTGTTTTAATTCATAACTGAGAAAAATTAATAGTAGAGGATACTCGTAAGGTACTAGTATTCGATCACGGATGTCTTAGAAATATTGCTCATATTTACTGGGATCACTGGGTAAATAATAGTAAGGTTAGACACACGGTATTATGGTAAATCAGTCGATGAGGTTGTGAATCTTTATGGACTGAGATGGTTGGGTCACATATTACGTATGCCCAGCTCCCGACTACCACGTCGCGCAGTGCTGACTTGTGTTGTAGACGGCTGGAAGAAATTTAGGGACGACCAAGCTAAAACGTGATATCAGTCCATAAAGTCACTAACTTCTGGTCTGATTCATGTTGGTAGATGTAGACTACTTGGTTGGGGTCCGCACGACTATCGTAACCCATAGTTGGAGACTTGGTTACATGGCTCAGAACTGATCACAAAGCATTGGTGAATACCCTCTGTGTCTTCCCTTAAACCGTGAGATTAAGACTACTTCTTTCTACAAACCAATTCATCTCCCTTCTATCATATTTAATTACGTACGCCTGTTACCCCTCGTGGAGGACCATAGGCTGCCTAGGAGTACGCTCCACCCAGCCATGTCCTGGGCAATCCTTTCCAGTTGTTTCCATTTACTATTCATCCATTTTATGTCTGCTTCCATTTCCCGACGTAATATGTTCTTCGATCTTCTTCTTTTCTGTTTTCCTTCAGGATTCCGAGTTAGGGCTTGTCCCATAGTGCAGTTCGATTATTTCCATAATATTTATCCTATACATTTTCAACGTCTTTTCTTAGTTTCCTCTTCAACTGAAAGATGGTTTGTTCTCTCCCATAGTAGGCTGTTGCTGACAGCATTCTGACAACGGATATTGATTGTTTTACGCAGACAACTGTTTCTAAATACTTGTACCCTCGAAGTTCCAGTTCCATATAGTAGAACTGTCTTGATGTTCGTATTGGAGATTCTGACTTTGATGTTGAATGACAGTTAATTTGAGTTCCATATTTTTTTCAACTGTAGAAATGCGGCCCTTTCCCAATCCTCGCCTTTACGTCTGCATCAGAACCCCTTTGTTCATCGATGATGCTTCCCAAATAAGTGAAACTTTCCACCTCTTCCAGAGTTTCTCTGTGAAGTGTGATCGGGCTGGTATTCTCCGTATTGTGTTTGAGGATGTTGATTTTTCTCTTGTGTATGTTGGGGCATACTGATGCAGAAACTGCTGCTACACTGTTTGTCGTAACCTGCATTTATTGGTGTGTATGGGATAGAACTATGTCATCTGTGAAGTCTAGTTGTATCCAACATCTCCATTGTATTCCATGCTTCCCCTTAGATATGGAGGTCTTCACAATTCAGTCAACCACCAGAAGAAAGAGGAAAGTGGGGATTAAGCAGCCTTGTCTGATTGCGGTCCTTACTTGTAATGTGGCTGTCAGCTCTCCTCCATACACGACTATGCACTGTAGTCTGTCGTATGAGTTCTGGATAATATTGACAATCTTCTCAGGTACACCATAGTGTCGAAGAAGTTCCCATAAGGTCGTCCTATACACAATCAAACGCCTTCTCATAGTCAATGATGTTGATGTATTGTGATGAGTTCCACTCAACTGATTGTTCAGCGATGGTGCGTAGTGTGGCGATTTGGTCTGTGCATGACCGATCCTTACGGAATCCAGCTTGTTGATCTCGAAGTTGGACGTCTACTGAGTCTTTCATCCGGTTCGGCAACACTTTTGAAAACGTTTCTTTGTATCGACAGTAGTGTGATTTCTCTAGTTTCACATAATCAGAGAATGCGTGTGAATTTCAGCTTTATTTCATGACAAACAGAGACAAGGATAACGTTTTCAGGACGTTTACAATGAATCTTTGTGAACGATAAAAATATCTTCCTATTTCCATCAAACAAAATTGAAACTTAAACAAAAAAGTCTGATTTTAGAAAAGAACATAATTAAGACTAAGATTATACCAAAATTATATTAAATTATTGAGAATGAAATTTAAATAATAGTAACTAATTTTCTCCAATGCATCATAAGATCCTTATTTCCTCGGTCGTTGGTGGAGTGACATCTATTGGAATGTCTGTAGGTGCTGCTTCGTTGTCTGCTGGGTTCAATGGAGCTGGTCTATACAAGAGTTCCTCAAAGCATTCTATCCATCTATTCCTCTGTTATTGAATCTCCGTGATTGTCTTGCCTTCTTTGTCCTTGACTGGTTTTTCTGGTTTAGTATATTTCCCTTATAGTTTCTTCGTTGTGTCATATAGTTGTCTCATATTTCCTTCTTTTGCAGAGTTTTCCACTGCTTGTCAACTCTAATGTTCCTCTTCACTTGTTTATTTGCTTCTGTGCATTCAGTTTGTGCTTTGACTTTCTCTGTTCATGTTCGGCTGTTGTTAATTGCTGTCTTCTTGTTCTTGATTTCTTGAATCTTGTCCAGGGTTTCCATAGAGATCCATTCCCTATAATGATGCTTGTTGCGACCCAGAACCTCCTGGCATGTTAAAGTTAATGCTTCTTTGACTCCTTTCCAGTTGTCCTCCATACCAGTTTCGTCTTCTTTCAGTAGATCCTGTATGGCTTGAAACCTTTTATTGTGAGCTATCTTGAATTGGTTGATTTTGTTAGTATCTCGTAGGAAGGCTGTATTGAAACTTTGTAACGCTGTCTACCCAGCTGTCCAGTGTTTCTTTAGCTTCAGTTTCATCTTTGCCACAACCAGATGGTGATCTGAATCTATATAAGTTCCTCTCCTGGTTCTCATGTCTTCCATTGTCCTTCTGAATTTTTTATTGATACAACTACGATCGATCTGGTTCTCTGTGGTGTGATCCGGTGAGATCCATGTAGCTTTGTGTGGGGATATTATGCCGCCTATAACCAATGTGTTGAATGCACATAAGTTTGCAAATCTCTCCATTTTTGTTTCTCCAAGTCCATGTCGTCCCATGTTATCTTCATATCCGGTGTTATCCATTCCGACTTTGATGCTTAGATCTCCCATCAGGATGGTGAGATCCTTTCTTAAGCAATTCTCTGTGGTTGATTGCAGCCTTTCATAGAATTGATCTTTAATGTCGTCATCATTGGTGGGTTCATACCGTTGGATAACTTTCATCGTGAATCCCTCCTTTGTTTTGAAGGATTCTTTGATTTTTCTGGATCCGTGAGATTCCCATCCTTTAAGTGAATTTTGTGCTCCTTTAGATAGCATCAGAGCAACTGCCTGAGTTTGTGGAGCATTTTCCTCTTCGTGATCTGAGTACAGCAGCATTTCCTCCGTACCTACCCTTTGTTGTTCAGCTTAGATCCAATGGGTTTCGCTGATTCTGAGTACTGCCAAGTTGTATCTCCTCATTTCCGTTGCTATTTGGTTGGCCCTCACGGTCTCCTACATTGTCCGGCCATTCTGTGTACATATAGTAATAGTTACTCTGGTTGTTAGGTGGTATCAACCTCGTGAATTCCGAAGAGTCTTGGCTTTCATCCTGAGGCGTCATAATTCTTCCTCAAACTCCCCGGCCAGAGTTTAAATGGTCTAGTTTGCTTAACCTGGTAAGCTTTGTCTTAGCAAGATTTTTCCCTACGGGATACGGTTGCCCATGTCCATGTCCAACTATTCTCCTTTACCAGGTTTTGGGACCGTCAGTAACTCTAGAAGTGCTACAAGCGGAGTTCCCTGCATCATATCCTTATATGAAATTTTTTTACTACCATCGATGTGACTTTCTATGAACTTAGTGTTCATCTAGTTGTGCTAATGATGTAAGGCAGCTTGGACCGATGCATATATGTTCCTGGTCCCACATTGCAGATTACTGACTGACTGTAATTCTGTCCTGTTTACCAAACTCAAATGAGTTAAACATGCTCTAACTTAGCCGTTTGATTGTTTAAATACCGGTACTTTAAACACCTAATTGCCGCTACGTGCATAATGTTGCTAGTAGTTAGGAAGTAATTTGTATGCTATTGTCAATGTGTACGGGCGAACTCTTACAAAACCCATAGACCATTCCCAAAATAAATTTCACAGTTATTCGTATTTGAAGAAATTAAACATTATTTCGATCTTGTACACTAATGATCATATTCGATCACTTGCTTAGCATGCATAAACATTTAAAAGTTGTTAAAGTTGTATTCGAAGGCTTAGTTTCTGTGTGGATTTAAAGTCAGAATAATCACTATTAAACTTTTAAATAAACAGTTCTGAATTTTGTTGTTTTTTAAACTTTCTTTCTACCCTATTAACAGGTTACACTACTACGGTCAACATGTAAAGAATGTCACGTTGTTTAATTAACTAAATAACTTTCATTAATGAAGAATTGGACAAATTGTACAATGTTGTAATATATGTATAACTAAGTGCTACCTTTCTACATTTGTGAAAATAATGTTTGTTTTTGTTTATAGACATCCTTTTGTTTACTACTAAGCTGTGATGTTACGGTTATACTATTAGTATATTATTATTGTTAAATATATTTTGTGGTTTATAAGTTAGGTCCCTCATCGACTTTGTAAATCTGAATTCTTGAATGTTCTTCTATTGAGTACAAGTAAATAAATATAAATATGACAGGTTAGCTGGTTGATAAAATACTGTAGTGAATAGTCGCTAGGTGATTTCAAACTGAGTGCAGTGGGTTCGTAAAAATGGCCATACATGTAGCAGTGGAACTATCAAAGCTATTATCCCATGCTTCATATGTCTCTCTGCAGCTAATTATTTTAAGGACTTTCAACCAGTAGTGCGCACTATTATAAATACTTTAGCTAAACAGCCAAAGTGGCGTTACTATAACTTGAGAAATACGTGTGATTCATAGTTTATTACTGACGTTTGTACTGGCTTGAGCAGTTTGGCAGTAAACTGTGATCAGTTTATATAAGGTGTTTAAGTAGATGCTTTCTGAATTTGACGTTAGTGTCTAGCTGTAAAACCAAAACTTGCTTAAAATCAATACTTATATGGCTAAATCTTGTCTCCACATGAGTCAATACGTATCTATTTCAGGTTCGATGTTGACTATCACTGATATTTAAGTGTAAACTGTGTATGTTTTCACAACCGGTTACTTTTTGATGAACCAACTCTAATTTGTTATTATAAATCTCTGATAATTTTATATATCATGATTTCCTTTACCTATGCCTCGTTTGAATAAATCAATAAGGTATTCTGTGCTTAATACTGAGGCTTCCCCTTTTTAAATCTATTATTGAATAATATTAGCTGTCATCAGAGGTTGTGTAGGGGTTGGTACTATGTCAAGCCCACATAAGTTATTCTAACCTCTGGACAGACAAATCTGCTCATTCTTCTCAAGTCACATTCTTACCTTGTTACTTATTCGCTTATTAACTTGGTTTTTATTTGAGTGTATGTGTGTTGATTACTTACCCTACTCATTATGTGTCTAAACTATTTTTGTTTGACTATAAATATCGAGTCACGCTTTATTAAAACGATTTGACTCACTCGCCTTATCCACTGCGTGTCCTCACGTTGCGTTTCTTTTTCTCCGCTTCGTTTCTCTGATCGTCTGTCTGAATTAACGATTGTATAAAAAAATACATATTCGAAATCCATTCTCGTATTTGACTTGTTTAGTCCCATTATTCACCAACGTGATTTAAGTCGATAAAATTATACACGAGGGTATTCCGGATTTATATTTCGATAGTAATCATTCATCCGATTTAATTGGAATCCGGTAAAGGGTTACTAAATTTGTTGATGTAATGATAGTGCATATGATTCGTTAGAATTGTCATAAAAACTAAAAACGCCACATGCCGTGGTACGGTCGAAAGTGGTAAGAACCAACTCTCCCTCTCAAAACGCTCTCACATGACAACGCGTGTACAGCCACTGCCAGGGAAGTTCTACTCATTGTCTTCTCGCGGCAGAGATATTGTTTACGAAGTCGAGGGGACGAAAATCTAATTTTCGGCGCTTTAACCGGGTTGGTGGATGCGGAGGACCCATCTAGCGGAGTTGGGAAAAATCTTGATTCCAAATCAATAGTTCATATATGCTCCAGAATCCTGTGGGCATAAATGGCATATGAACCTATTGTTGATCACCGGCTACTATGGGACTGCATCTCCTAGCGTTGCTCCACTGCTTTAGACCTTTAGGTCAGTTAGTCAGTCAGTAACAACGTAGAACTTCGTACGTACGTACATCAGTTCGAGTTGCCACACCACATTAGCACAGAGATGCAGTTGTCGATTCAAATCCCGTAGTGGTAGAGGTAATAAGAGTATAAGCAGTAATCGGGAAGATTAGGGTTTAGAGATGTTATTTAAAGACCTTTAGGTCAATGGCTCGAGGAGTGATCTCCTAAGAAACCATTTGCTCCAGTTTGGGAGCCCGGACAGCATCCCAGTTCTCACAGAAATCAAGTGATTTCTGAGGCTCATATCTATTTGGTGCATCCTTGTACCGATGTTTATGAGTTTAAATAAATAATAAAATGTCTTATATACGCGCGTAAAAGCGAAACTCGACGTAGCTAATACTATAACTTGTACTTTAGAAATATCTTGTATTATATAGCACTGCATAAGCTTTTTAACACTACATTGGTGATCACTTGTGTTCATTATGGGTGTTCTGAAAATTCTGATTGTTGAACAAAATGTTGCTTATGACTTGTAATAATTTTTTATTCATATTGGCTATTCAGTTATAATAGTCATCTGGTTTTTCTGAATATATTAAACATGGTTGTTTTTTGACAATGTTAATTTTGTCCGACGTTTATACAGTTAAACGATCGTTTGGACTGAACAAAAACAACAACTTTTGTCATTCAAATTATAAATTTATATTTCAATTCTTTCGCTTTCATTTCCGATGTACTTTATACTCCTCAAAATGACTTGATAGTATCAGTGTTAATGCTCACTTTATGAAATATATACTTTTTTCAAGATTCAATTACTTTTTACGTAACATATTATTTGACATGTTGATATCTTTTTTATTCATGATTGTATTGAATGGGTTGATATAATACATTTTTGGTGTTTTCGAATGTTATGAAAATATTTTTTAATCAAGTAACTGTTCTTATATTATGATACTTTAAAATAAGGGAGTACAAGTTGTGTGCTTCTTGAACACCATTGTAATTTTTTAGTTTGCAGCTTTGATATATGTCTTTGACTAGCTTAACTCCAAAGGGTATGAGTTTCTTCAGCCATACTCTTGTTATCTCTTAGCTACACTAACTGTTGTAGCGGTAATTTCCCATCATATTTATGTAAGGTTATTGCATTATTATTCACATCTATCGAAATAATTGGATTTTGATATATCAGATATTAACCTATTCAGTGTGTAGAACTGCTTAAATTAAATTAATGTCAGGAAACTGCTTCGCAGTTTGCGGTCGTAAAACTTTGAATGTAAAATTACTGACGTGATACTAATGCGTAAGAACGTTTGTACTCTTAAGTTGTGTTTAAATAATGATATACTCTGAACTCATGCTTTTGGTAACATAACTTCAGCAAAAGTCGGCTTTAAATTGATGCCATAGACACCTAAACGTTTGGAAATAATTTAATTGATATAGAATAAAGTTTATGAAATAACTCAGAAAAACTTGTTCTGAAAACACATCGTCTTTGCGCTGAAAGAAATAGTGAGTTACGTAAACCGATTGTACATGAATGCGTATTGAGTGGGTGATTGTACTGAACCATCGACCTGAGTAATATTTCGCCTTACCATTAGGGTTTTTAAGTTAACATTGTGCCACCAATATTTGAATTGGTTGTATTAGCTGATATTGGTGGTAACTGTGATTTTAAGCAATCAAAAATGGAAGTTTCGAGAAATAAGTATTTAAGTTATTATAATTATTTGGTGATTTGAAGACTAAATTGATGTAACAAACTCCCAGAGTATTCGAAGTGTTCCACGTCTTGAAGTCAAATCAAACTGTTATATTTGAATTGTATTGCACATTTGTTCTATGTTGTAGCTAGTAAATATTATAAATATGCATATTCTTGTAGTAAATTTTTCTAAGATTAGTTATACTCCTACATTGATGTTATTCTCGGCCTTCGTACCTTAATAGTTTATAAACATACGTTAGAACAAGTTAATAATATCTGTTATATTGAATAGATAGAATGTCGCTAGCGATGGTGTCCATGTCGCGCGTTTCTTCTGTAGTAGGTCCAGTGTGGTCTGCAGTGGTCGCACACTGCCGTGGAATTCCATACTACGCCGAGACACCTGTACAGTGCTTCCAGATTTTATATATTATTCTAACTTGGATCAGTTCATAGTTCCCATTAAGTTCCAAAATTCAATGAATGAACCCATAAATGTTTATTTTCTTTCCATAGTTGTCATTTTACACTTTATTCGGTACACTATCTAACTAACAATATGAATCAATTATTTTAGATATAATTTTACGATAATGATTCTGTAATATTGTCCTCACTTGGTCTTTCGTAACGTGATGTGGCTGGGCGTTCAAAATCCTTTGCGATACCGCTGTATAAAACCTAGTGGATTTTCTTACCGGCCCTTCCATAATATCAATAATAAAGTCAGAAGGACTTCACCTATTATTGGTTATCGAAGATTTTTCAGCTCATTGTCTAGTTCATCTGTACCTCTTGGTGATTCAAATAGTCAGGTCAGCTTTTTTAGTTGTCCGAATAATCTCATTTCATTATTTGATATTGTTAATTCATTTGTTATGTAATTTGGCTTCTCAAATAGCTTGCAAATACAATAGTTCTTTTGGTTCGTTACTTATTATCTGAAAGCGCCATCTATCAAGGTAGAAGACATGTTAACTGCTGTTTTTATATCATAGTTCTCACCGGAGCTTTGCTCACTTATGTCAGTCAGTCAGTCAACTACAGTGTAGGACCAAGCACATATATGCATCGGTCCAAGTTGCCATACTTCATTAGCACGACAAAATGAACACGAAATTCATCGTAGTTACTTCAATGGTAGTAATATATGAGAGAAAAATTGTGTAATTATGTTGAAACCATCGAACGAGAAATACCGAGGTTTAATTCTGTATAATAGGCGTACGTGATAAATCTGTTGATGAAGCTGTTAATCTTCAATGGAGGTGACTGGGATGTGTTGCGTATGCCCAGCAACCAGTTTACCTCGACTCACAACGTTGGTTAGAGTTGAATTAGGTTGAAAATGAATTATAGATGATGACAAAAGTCATAGCATCACTCCACTCAATCATTGTGTATTGGACAGTCGTTTTTATAAATGTAGACTATCTAGT